TAAAGTTGTTCAAATGAAGTTCTTAGCAATGCATATAACTAATCAATTGATCTATTTACGGTAGGAAATTTACAAAATATCTTCATGGAACATGATATTTTCCTAATTATCCTAATGATTTTTGGCATAAAAGAAAAATTGATAATTTTGACCCATACAATGTTTTTTTGGCTATTGCTACAAATATACCCCAGCGACTTAAGACTGGTTTTGTGCTCCAGGGTCACACATATATATACACACAAGCTAAAAATAGAGGAAGTGAGAATGCAATAGCCTGTGACTTTTAGAATTCACTGACTTTTATATTCTTATAGAAGAAACGGATCCAAAATAATAACTACTTAAAAAAACACTTCTAGTAAGCTTTTCATATGCTGGAAAAAGGTCTATAACACAACCATTTAATATAAACAATAATCAGTAAATAGAGGAAAAAGTCAAACAACTGTTATAGACATACACTATTATTCACCCAGGGACAAGTGTGAAAAGTCCATACGTGGACAGTTTATAGAGGCAGGTCTAGAACAGGTCTTAAAACACCTGAAGGACAGACTGAACGAAAGGTTAACACAAGGAAATCTGAGATTTTTAATTAATAACAATTTGCTACATTATTTTAATTGTATGGTTAACACACATGTTGTTAGTGTTATGCAATACTGAATATTGAGGAGAGGACCACTCGGGGTCTGCATGGAAAACAGCCTTTATATTATACTTCAAGAATATTACAGAACTTGTATGCATATGTATTATGCATAAAACATATTAAGGGAAAAAAGTTATACGAGACTAACGTTACAGAAAATGAAATTAGAGTTAAGAAATGAGAATTAAGATGATCATCTGAATATGAACATGTATTTAAACGCGCTAGAGAACATCTAAAATCTGGAAAGAAAGAAAAACAAACAGAAAGCTGACGGGTTATAATGCAGAAATTCTGCCTCAAACTGTATCAAGAGCCAGTTATTCGAGCCAACTTCTATATTTAGCAGAGAAACCGCAGAACAAGCTACAAATAACGTAAGGAAATACCGAGTACCTCGAAATTAAGGGTAGTGATAAATGTAAGCAGATGTACAGATGTTTATTATATATAATAACAAGAAAAAACGACATTTTCGCAGAAACGAATGGACAGGCTAACCAACTAGCTCAAGTTGTACGCTGTAGGTTTTGCTTTTACACTGTAGTAACAGGGAATTCGTATACTAGTCGTCTCTATTGTTATAAAATGTGCGGCAATGTCGATACATGACTTGGAACCGCGAAGTTTAAAAACAGCATATAAATACTATATTTTTCGAGCTAACTAGCTGCTCTCCGCGTCGACGGCCATTTTGAGATCTTCTAATCTTCAACGGGCCATTTCTCAAATGCTCGTTCGTGTGTAATTCGGCTGAGAGTGGGGCAAAAAGTGACCGACAGTAAAATAATGTTTTGTAATCACCGTTTTAGCAGCCAGCCCTGTGCGTTTATCCCAAAGAAAATCCGTGTTCACGCTTCGCCTCCAAATTTCTTACTCAAGCCCAATTAAACAGTGAAGAAAAAACAACTTCCGGTCCCTCCTCCAACGTTCTTTATACGCGCGCGTGCCATCTGCACATCCGACGTAAACAGCGCAATATTTATTCCAAGATGATAATCCGCAAAAACGTGCAGTTACCAAATAGCATGACTACAATACCCCCAAAAATGTATTCACAAAAAGAAAGCAAAATTGAAATAGACAAACAAGCTTAATATATTTGAAAGGGATTCGTTTTTTTTTTAAATTTTACAGTAGAAATAATTGTATTAATTTTGTTTTGTCTGATACTACAGTAAGACTAACACAGTATAGACAGTTTTATATATTACACATACCATTCGGTCATATAAAAGAAGTTTTATTCCCTCTTCCCCAACGTGATTATTAGTGTCATTCATACACAGCTTTTTAAGCAGCATATTTGACTGATATTAAATGACATACAAGACAAATATTACACAAAACGTAGTTTTTGATATTTGCAAATTTTATTTACATTTCTTAAGTGACTATTAACATTTCGTGTAAAGGTTAAAAACAATAAAAACAAACAAAACTAAAAAGCAATGACACAAACTTTAATATAGATCTTATACTTTTCATATTCAGTGGGTCATGACTGGAATGCTCTTCCAGAACAGTGCCACAACTATGTTTCTGATGGCTTGGTAAGACGGTTTACAACGATAACACCTCAAGGAGAGTTTTAGTGTTTTTTGATGAAAGCAGTATATCAGAGCAGCCTTCCTGTGCACCGCAAAGAGCCACAGCAGCAGAGCAGAACCTTCCCCTCCACACTGCCAACCTCATAGTTATAATCCCACGTCAACTCCGTACCCGCCTTGATGCGCCTGGTGAAGACAGACGAAAGGAAAAACACAATAAGACAACTTTCTGGATAAAACATTAACATTAAAAATAGCAAGAGTTTCCAAATAAAATTTGGGTTAACCACTTATTTCTAAGTAAAACTTCAATTTCTGTATTAGAAAATCAAGCTGGTATGAATCAAGGCACTGACTTGCTGGCGAAGAATGCCACCCATGGAAACCGAAGGTCGTGTGTGTCGACAAAGACGTTCTGAACAAACAAATTCGGACTGCAGCTATGCTGTTGAGAAATGCGGGATTAATAGTAAAAAAAATGTAGATATAAGCGCATAATATTTACAAACTTGTATCATTGTTGACACATCTACAGTGACGAGGCTGAGTTTGGCTTACGTTGATGAAGCGGCCGAGGTTGCCCTCTTGTCTCGCGTCAATGATGTAACAGGTCTCCTCGCCGTTGAACAGTCTGCGGGTGTTCTTGCCAGTTACAGCTGTCCTCGTTTTCTCATTCTTTGCGTCCAAGGTTTCTAGAGGTTTTACTCTTCTCTGGAATGACTTTATGGCAAAGCAACGCTTTGGACCTGAGGTTTCTTCACCTACAGACACAAATTATAGACTGAGCAAATTCAATGAAACACTAAAAACATAAAATGAGGAACAGAAATTGAGAATAGAGAGAATAGAAACTGACCGTCCTCTCTCATTTGTTTGGTCACTTTCTTCTGAGTGTCTTTATATGTTTCATGTGGCTTATGGGATAGTTTTCTCTCACCGAAGGACATGTGATTCACTAAACAGGTAAAGAGGACAGGTAAAAAAAAAACATCAGGCAAGTTTGCTACAAAATAGAGCCACATGGATAATGCAAAAAAGTTGCAGATCTCAGCCTATATGCCTCATTGTCAATGCTTAGTCTGTCTTATATCAAAGTACATGCCCCTAAACGTTCATATTGTCTTATTAGTTACTAAATCCCCATCACCAGCCAAGTATGATTAAAATCATGTTTTACTGAAATAAAATAAAAATTAGTGCTGTCAAACGATTAATCGCATCCAAAATAAAAGTTGTTGTTTACATAATATATGAGTGTGTACTGTGTATATTTATTATGCATGTACACATGCATGTATATATTTAAGAAAAATATATTATGTTTATATATTAAATATATTTATATAATATAAAATATAATAATATAAATATATAAAT